TGAGAAAATCAATTTTACATAAAATTAATTCAATTGCATAAAAATGAATTTTAATGGGACACCACACCCGCACGTATTGTCTCTGTTTGACAAACACACAATATTTAAATTTTTAGGCGAATTATGAGTTTTTTTTAATATTAATGTTTTACATATTCATAAATTGTCTAAAAATTAAAATATCAGAAAAAACCGACCAACAACAGATAACGTTCATCCCTTAAAGTTTGATTAAAAGTTAGTTTACTCTAATAGTAAAGATAACATCACTACATTTTAGCTACAAAACGTAAATTTGTACGTTTGTCAAACAAAGGCAATACATGCGGATGTAGCTTTCTCTTAAGATAAATGTTATTATTCAAAAAACAACTATTATAAAGTTTCAGAAATTTTAATTTATTGAATATCTATATATATATTTATTGAATAATATGAAATAACTATAATTTAAAATAATACTTTACATAAAAACCAAACTATCTATACACTAGTATGAAAAGATACTTATTTCACTTAAAATCAGGTACTCAGAAAATATTACCCTTGAATAATTAAAAAAAAAACAACTATCACTATTCAAGAAAACAATTGGTCATGATAATGTTTTACTAGTCTTAAGACGTCTATAAAAATATATAGCTGACCCCAGTCTTCGAACTTTTTAATATCAGGAAAATATATTTAAAATCTAAAATATTTGTGTTATATTTCCATTATTAAAACATTATAAAACATGGAATTAAACATTTAAAAAAATGTATTAATTGTTATTAAATCATCTAATAATGTCTGTTAAAATAAATAAAAATTATATTTTGTTATTATCTTAAGATAATAAACATTAAACAATTGTATTTGTATTTAAATTTAAAAAATAATAAAGAAATTTAAAATTTAAATAATTTAAATAATAATAAATAAAATTAAATAATTGAAAATTGGAATTAGTAAAAGTTAGAAGCATTAGAGTTTTTCGAAACAAACTATTTCCTATGACTTTTAAATGTATAGGAATTACTGATTTACATAAATCATACTTAGGATACGTTTTATATGATATAAAATTTCAAATCGATTTTTTTAGTAGTTCGAGTATTTAATCAAGGTTCATATTTTTATGAATATACATTTTAAAATAAAAAAAATAAAACGTATTTGGTTGATTTACGTAAGCACGTGATATTTTCAATTAATAATGTTATTAAAACTATTAAAATTAATAAAATTCCTTTCTTATATTAGCGAATAATATGCAGTGAAAAAAACTATATTTTAAGTACGCAAATATGCAACAATAAAGACTGAAACATGCATAGATTATGTTACCATGTGCTCTAAAAATGAAATAAAACTTATAATTATACTTAGAATATTAATTTAGAAAAATTGTTATTATGTATATTATATTTCAAATATTTATTTAGAACGATTATTCTCGTAGCATTATACTACTAGATGTTATTCTAAGTATCACATTGTAAATCTACTGCGCTTGTCATCCAAAATAATTATAAATGTAGTAAACGATCGTTCAAAATCATATGATAGTATTATAACTTAGAAGTCATGCTACTCGATATTGAATTGAGCAGTGCAGTACTTTTACCATTAATGTAAACGTCAGTTATACTTATGGGACCATAGCCAGGAATTTTGTTCAGTAAACAGGTGTCTTGGTTATGATTTTTTTTTTTTGTAAATAGATCAGGCAATTCAAATACAGTTGTCAATGATTCCATCATTATTTGTAATGAATTGTGTAGTAGAAAATTCCTTCTAAACAGATGTGTTTTTAAAAAATTATTACTGTGATAACGTATATCAAAATACGATTATACATTTACAACACTAACCAATGAAATATTCAACGTTGTAGAAATATTTAACTATAGGTATTTGCATTTGCAGATACGCGAATACATATAATCCGTGGTTTAGTTATAATATTACATTTATTATGTCGTATAAGATTCAAACAACTATAAATATTCTTACAATGGATTTACAACAAACATTTATCCTTTATAATTAAATAATATATAAATAATAAAAAATAACTTTATTTAAAATTTGATAATTTACAGTTAACTATTATACAAGTACATACATTTATAGAATAAGAGTGCTAAAATTATATTTGTAAACATTCGTCACAGTCCAAATACTATGTAACTATTGTTTATCATTTTCCAAGGAATAAATCAATATAAAAGCTCATCGTAGAAAATTCGATTTGATGTTGTGTAAATTTCATCGTTTCCATAGTTCTATCATTTGAAGTAAAAATTAAAATGTAAAAAAATAATTATATCGGTCTTATTTTTATATTATCACAGAGAAACAACGAGAACAAATAATTGAAAATATAAACGTTATAATAATTTACATACGTGGTACAAAATGTGCCAGCTGTATGCATTATACATATACTAATGAATAATTCAATTTTGTTAAATAAAAAAAAAAATAAAAAAAAAAAAAACACATTTTATTATGTTCATGACTGTACTATTATATTATTTAATTAACAGTCAGAACAACTTTTTTTTTAATTTCCTTATTCCTCTAATTTAAGAGGATTGTTTATTTGCATTTTACATGATACTTGGAATATACATTGTTTTTGTTCATACATGTATATATAATATATACCTTTGTTGAAAATTGGAATTGCATTTATTTTAATATTCTATGCAAGTAATTTGTCAACTTTTTTAGCGATTTTACTGATAATGTTATAAACATAAGACGTGAGACCAAAAAAAAAAAAAAACTTGGAAACAATATGACATTTTATTCATTAGACAATTGAATATATTTTAAAAAACAACTATTCTTATACTTAAGGTTTGTAAATTGAAAACAAATAGAGACCAATTTTCAAGGCTTGATTTTTATAATTTGTACGTACATTTTATTTTATTTTTTTATTTTTTAAAATTATTCAGTATAATTGACTTGTAGACACCATATTAACTATATATTTGTATAAATGCCTAACCGTAAGACATTACTCAACATTTTAAAAAAATCAGTAATGAGCCACTCATCTTATATTTTTGTATAAAAAAAAAAAAATTATATAAATTTTATAGCATAAAAATTATTTTGTTATTAAAGATATTTGTTAGGTTAGATTTAGTTTTAGTTTTAGCCAATAACTAAATCGTTTCTCGGAATTCAGCTTAATCAATTTTTGAGTTCAACGATTGTCAACTGCTTATGAACTTAAAGAGTTCAAATTTAACTTATTCTTTAATAAACTTCCACGTAAAATCAGCTACTTACAATTTTTTAAAAACTATATGAATGTAAATTCATATAATTCAAAATGTTTCAGATGTCTTGTTATAGATCAGGAGTGATTAAAGTATAAAACGCACGTGTTATATTTCATAACAAATAAATGGTCAAATATGTAAGAAAAATATTTTATAATATATGTATCTATTTTTATTTATCATTACTTACAAAAAAAAAAAATTATGTAATGAACCTGGACGCCGCTACTTTATTTTCAAATTTCTCATCGAAGGTCATTGTCCATATATTTTTTACTTGGGAGGGTGGTAAATTGGAGTATCCCTTGTATCCTTTCTCTAAGTGAAAGTTATTACATGCCTGGACTTCACTTCCAGTGGAGTTTGTCCGATGAGAAGCAGCGTAGAGTAACCAGAACGATGGCAGGGGAAACAGAATAAAGTATTAATTCTACAGAATGTTTTTTGCACTAAGTCAGGTTCGAACTGATGACTGCTCACGCTGTAACTGTGTGATCACTGCACTATACACCTCCTTAATCTTACTTGTAATCGATCATTGCAATGATCATACTTGTAATAAGTACTTGTAATATTTACGCCTAAAACGTTTCTCAAATTGTACTTCTTCATATAAATGAGGGTCGAAGGTAATTGGGAAATAATCGGAGAAAATAAGTTATAATGGTTTTTGTTTGGTTACGTATAAATATGAATGTCATATGAAAACGACTACTAGCTTTCGACACTTATTTGGTTGATGTATAAATATCAATTTACATTTAATTATATCGTTAGATAATTTTATTTTAAATAAATATACAAATAATTATATTCAAAACATTAGTAATATATAACAATTACTCATTAAATAATATAAAATTATTAAATACTCGATTTCTCGATCGGAACATATCATTTCAAAACAAATAATTCATATATGTAACAATAAAAACAAATAATATATATATATATATATATATACGCCGTATATATTATACATTGGGTAAACCCTTTAAAAAATTAAAACATATGTATTTTTTTAAAAAAAAAATGGATAAAGCTTTCGACATTCTATACTTAAATAATATGATAAAATATAAATATTTTTAATTTTGTACATCTTTTAATAATGTTATAATTTATTTGGTTATCAGTAAGTTAAATACAATTTCTTAATTGCAGTCAATAAATAATGTTTGGTTTGATAAAATTTATTAAAATGTTCTTATATCATATGGTTTTTAATATTAATATTTAAATAAAAATAATGATAAATTTAAAAACTATGGTTCAAATTAAAAAAAAATTTGAAATATATTTCCCATCAAAATAATAAAATAAAGAAAAAACTATACTTCAATGTTCTATATTTGAAACATATTAAATTTAAATGCGTACTCTCTTCAAAGTTATATTTCTGTTTGCATTGATTTAATTATGAACTTAAATTTCACACTTTTCAATAATGTACATAACTGTTTGGAAACAATAAAAAATTAAGTATTAATGTATTTTAAATTTAAAAATAAATTACTTAGAAAAATATGAAACAAAATAAATGTGTAACATATTAAGGTGAAGAAACACAAAAATAAATATCAAATTGTACGAATTAAATGTTACATTTAAATTAAAACAATTTTATAATAGTAAATTTTTAAGATTTTCTGAAAAAAATATAATTACTATTAATTTATTTATAGAATATTTAACAAATATCACATTTGATTCAAAGACAATAGGCGTTATAATAATAATATATATATATATATATAAGACAGACGTAGAGAAGATTAATATACAAAAGTTATATGTACATATTTTTATTGAAGTAATTATTCATTGGGTCCTTAAAGTATATTGATATACTTAATAATATTATTTTATTTTTTTTTAGATCGCATGTGTCTTATTCACAATCCTCCTTAACCGGCATTAATACAAACATCCAGCTGCTTGTGTATATAATTATATCGTTTTGTGACTCAAAAACACCTAAAAAATTATTGTGATACCGAATCTGATTAATTTATTTTAAATATTTTTGAAAACTTATACTAGAACCGTTGTAGTCGAACGTAAAAAATATCACCATATATTATGTATGTATTTCGAAAGAGGAAATCGGGTACCATCCGCGATAAAGCACGTGACTTCATCATCCAGTCTCATTTACGATATTTTTGACGAAATTAAAAGTTTATGGACAACAGATGATTGTGATATAAAGTAGAAGCGTTTATACCATAAAATGTAATTTCATCTGTCTACTATATAGGTATGTACACCGAACACAAGAATAATTCAAAAATATTCGAGCGAAAAAGAAACGTAAATTATAATCGGCCGAGTGGCGATATTTCTTTTTCGTTTTTTTCCTAGGAAATGTCTGAGGAATCATTCAATTTTAAGACGTTTCGAACCCGTGGTCTTGCCCTCCAACTGCAAATCATTTAACTCGGTCGACGATATGTTCATAGGTTGTTTTTTCCTGGGAATGTACTCATTTTCCGTCTCTTCGTTGCTCTCCGCGTTCACTAACATGCACTCACGGATTTTTTGCAGCACGAAGCCCACTCGTCGGTCGAGCGCCACCAAATGTGGTTCCCATAGTATGGGCGACAACGGGTCGTCGGCCATGGATTCTCTCATGTGTTCGCTGAGCTTTTTACCGTTGTGGAATCTGAAAACGAACACCACAAAAATCATTATTATCAATACAACAATTTAGTCCCTCGTGCTTCCAAAACGATGAGTTTTTTTTTTTTTTTTTAATATCACAAACGTTATTCTTATAATATATTGATTGATAAATTAGATTTTGTTTACACTTCTTATTTAATGTGCTTATTGTGCACTGCAAACGGAGAACTATTCGGTAGTTAATTCTATACATCCATGTGCAATCACGAAAGCAATAAAATTAATTTTACATTATCTACGCTCTATAGATCAATAAAACGATTTGCAATATTTCGCCCTATGAAACACATTTGTAGGTATAACCTATAAATTTTTCTATAAAATTGGTTCAATATATTTCCATAAAGTCGAAATTAATAGTTGTTCTTAATATTGAAAAAATACCAACTGCCTAAATGTGTTTAACACCAAAAGCACAAAAGCATTTTTTTAACGAACTATTTTTCACACAACAAGCAGCAGTAAATTTATTATAAAAATTAAATTAACATAAACTATTTATTTAAAACTATTTTTATTATTATGATTTTTTAAATTACATATTAATGTCATGTACATTTTTATTAATTGTAATTGAACGTTTTAACGTTATTTTATTCCAATCAATTTAATATTATTTTAAATTATAGTAAAAAACTATATGATTTAAAATAATTTGTTCTTTATTAATTTTCCCGGCATCAATGGAATTATTAAATCCCACAATAAATAGTATTAAACTCGTTTTACTGGAAAATGTAATATTTGGTTAAATTGAAAAAAAAATATACATACTACTACATACTTTTGTTTTACTTGTAAATTAGTTTAAAAACCCATGGCTGTATAAATAAGTATATAGACCCGTTTAATATAATATTAGTACAGTGTCATGTTACTATATAGGTAATAAATGTGTAGTAAAGCATAGGTAATCCGAATAACATGAGAAAGAAATACATTGTTATTATTATACCCTTGCATTACACAATTTTCGCCATTATTTCCAGTATTCGACTTTACAAAGTCAATCTTGACTAAAATGGCCATTGGTTTCGTGCAGTTCGATTACCAAGAAAATGACCAAACGTTTAAACTTTTCACATATAAAAGTTTTTCCCTAAATTGACTTTTTAAACGATTATATTATTAGACGCACATGTGTATTTGTTTTGGATTGTTTAGGTATTACATTTTAGTAACAACTTGGAAAATACTCATATACATAGTGCTGTACATTATCTAGATAAAAAATAATTTCAAGAATCTTTTTATCCATTTTTTCAAATAAAACGGTTATCTGACATTAATTATTTAAATAATTTTGAATAGTATAATATTTTTTTGTGACAAGTGAAACTAGGAATAAAAATACTTGGTAATACCTTATGTACGTTTTAAATTTTAAATAGACATATTTTATAGATAAATCAAAATTATATAACATACATCTTTATAGTAAATAATTTTACAGAAAACATAAATACAAATAACTTTTATTATTCAATTTTATAATGATATAACTTTTTTTTCTGTTTAATCAACGACTAGAAGATACCTGCTTACCCAATGCGTAATATGGATTTATACCGGAAAAGTTTCTTTTACCTAGCATTCGAACAACATGCATGCAATTGTCGAATACAAGATTTTCTGTTCAAGAATCATATCATGATTATTTGCACCATGACCAACATTTTTTTTTTGGAGAATGCAAGGCGATTTTGTAAAGCGATAAGCTTGGCCTATTTTTGTTCACACATTTAGAGATTATTTGGTACGATATATGCTTCAAAAAATATCGACAAGTGTAAACGGTTTTTCAAATTTCTCGGACGTTTTTTTTTTTTTATCGAACATTTGAGACTCGTACGAATCCGTTTAAACCATTTATTGCATTTCGAATAGCGTTCCTACATATTCTTGTTTTGTGGTTTTTTAAATGTACACTTCAATTTCAATTTGTATTGTTATTTTATTATAACTTTTTAAATTGAGTTTTTAACCAATAAAATAAAAACTATGGCAAATTTAATCAAGTTTGGTCGACTGAAGTGATTAAGTTTATAGAAATGTATTGCAATCATGAATGCCTAAGGGATACAAGCAACTTAAATTAAAAAAGCCGATACAAGAGAAATATAGCGCTGTCTTCTTTAGTAGGAGAATTAGACATTGATGGGTTTGGGACTAAGAAAATAACGACAATTAAAAATATTAGATGTATATATATACAGTGTGTAATCGGTTGTTGGAAACACTCTATAACTTAACAAATATTAAAGATATTTGAATTCTGTTTGTTTGTGGTGCTTAACAAAGTTTGTTATAACTTATTTAAGTAATTAAACAATTTTTATGCCATTTCATTTCGCGCATGCGCATAACAACTTTTTTTTTTAATTGTCAACCCCACTATTTTTTGGTTAGTTATTTTTACTCTTATTTTTTCATGAATTTTAGTGGTAAAACCAACTTCCTATGTTAAAAAATAGCTGAGTTATGGATATTTCAGTGATTGATAATATTTTTTGACATTTTTGAATTATTCATCAATTTTATGGCTTAAATAATTATTCCTTTTAGCACCACATGATATCTTCTAGTGATATTTTTAGTACCTACTTTTGGAAAGCATCCTCTTTCCCTAAAGCAACTATTTTTTTTAAATTTATCTCAGGCGATTAAAAAAAAAAAAAACAATGTTAATTAATTTTATTTTTATTATTGCAAAATTACATTTATTCGTCATCTTATGAATTGTTCAAACTTCTCTCCATTACAATTTAAACACGCTTCTGTCCTCCGTAGAAATTATTTATTTGTTGCAGATGAAATTTGCCCTTCAGTAAGTTACTATTACACGCCGCAATTATTTTTTGTTTCAAATCAATGAGATTAGTAGGTGGGTTTGCATAGACGACAGTTTTTAGATGTCCCCACAAAAAAGTAATCAAGTGGTGTAAGATCTGGGGATCGAGGTGGCCACTTTATTATACCATTAGTTCCTATCCAACCATTTTCAAAAGGTTCATTTAAATAATTCTTCACGACATTTGCATTGTGTACCGGGGCTCCATCTTGTTGCAAAATCAAATTGTTTCTTGTTGCAAGAGGAATGTCGTCTAGCATGATCGGTAGCTCATTCATTATAAATTCTAAATACCGTCTTCCATTTAATGTACCGTCGTAGAAATAAGGTCCCAACAATTTACCTCCAATCAAACCACACCAAACATTTGTTCCCCAGATACATAGATAATTTGTTTCGAAAACCCAATGGGGATTTTGAGTGTCCCAATATCGATTATTTTGTTTATTTATTACTCCGTTGTTGGTAAATTTGGATTCATCTGTCCATAATATGTAATTTAAAATAAAAGGATTGCCTTCTAATTGAGTTACCAACCAAGAAATAAACATAATTCTACGCTCAGCATCACCTTGGCGTAAATGTTGAACTAAATTAGGCCTGTATGGATGAAATTTATGTTTTTTTAAAATTTTATGAACGGCATTATGAGAAATGCCTATTTCAAAGCCGACATGACGCGTACTAACTCTGGGATTTGCTCTTACGTACGCCAGCACTCGAAGCTCAATATCTTTCCCCAATGCATTAACTTGTATAGGTTGTTGGTTGGCTATAACTCTAGTGTTAGAAAAAGAATCAGTATTTCTTAAATTCCTTTATAACTTATGGAAATAACTGTGTGACGGGTGTTGCCTATCTGAATTTAGAAAAACGAAAAATTGTTTTATTATTTTCACCAACACGAAAAATTATTAAAAGTACTAATAAATAATAAATACATACTTGGGTAACGTTCAGCATAAGCACGTGCAGCCAGACGTGAATTTTTTTTCACATTCCCAGTAAACAAAAAGTATATCAACTTTTTCTGAATTATTCATATTTTGTTTAAGTAACAAGCTATTTCAATTATGAAATTATTTATTGTAATTTAACTATTGTTTAATAAACACGCATAAATTCGTAAAATATGACTGTTAAGCAAATACGAAACAATAGTAGTTGCACTGGCCTATTTGAAATGAAAACAGTCATTCGATCGTTTTTAAATTACCTAATATTCAGATAAGAACAGATGTAAAATGATTTAGAAAACCCGTACCTATCACTTAATGGTCATTTAAAATATCCAATAATAGAAATAAAATTGACATGTTTAAATTGTAATGGAGAGAAGTTTGAACAATTCATAAGATGACGAATAAATGTAATTTTGCAATAATAAAAATAAAATTAATTAACATTGTTTTTTTTTTTTTTAATCGCCTGAGATAAATTTAAAAAAAATAGTTGCTTTAGGGAAAGAGGATGCTTTCCAAAAGTAGGTACTAAAAATATCACTAGAAGATATCATGCGGTGCTAAAAGGAATAATTATTTAAGCCATAAAATTGATGAATAATTCAAAAATGTCAAAAAATAATATCAATCACTGAAATATCCATAACTCAGCTATTTTTTAACATAGGAAATTGGTTTTACCACTAAAATTCATGAAAAAATAAGAGTAAAAATAACTAACCAAAAAATAGTGGGGTTGCCTTTTAAAAAAAAAAAAGTTGTTATGCGCATGCGCGAAATGAAATGGCATAAAAATTGTTTAATTACTTAAATAGTTATAACAAACTTTGTTAAGCACCACAAACAAACAGAATTCAAATATCTTTAATATTTGTTAAGTTATAGAGTGTTTCCAACAACCGATTACACACTGTATAGAAAAATAACGATTTTACAAATATACCTTTGAAATTATGACATTCTTTAAAATAATCTGTTTTTTATTTAGAAAAATATTTAAATAGTTATTTATTATCTTATCTAGATAATTTTTTGGTTATCTATGTACAAAATTGCATGTACATAACGTACCTATATTTGGTGTTAAATGCAGTGCCGTTTCTAGGTTCTGCGAGGCCTTGGGCATCATTAGAATTCGAGGCCCTACAATATTATATCGAAATCCAT